AGTAAAGTCCGTCTGATGTCCGGAATGACTGATTTAGACATTTTGCGTTCACACATGCAGCCCCTCCAGTTAATGTCTAGAAAAGTTCAGTGTCTGAAAGGGGCACAAGTTTCACCTTGTAAAAGGACCAGGCCCAAGTTTAACTGGAACCAGTGTCTCACACCCATAGAAACAGAAGCCAGAGACAGAGGGCGACCCAGCAGTGAGTCTAATTGTCTTCAGGAGGTCCAGCCATATTGGGTGGGTTCTGTGAAGGTCCACACCAGAGAAGGTCGATAGGATCTCGCCACCGGGCTGACATGAGGCTCACTGCATTCATTTAAAAACAAACATGACTACAAACAAGCCAACCGCCACATTTACTGAAGTTAATCTCAAGCAATTACCACGATAATGACTTAATCTGTTTTATCATGTTCGCTACCCAAATTGTTGTGAGGATTGAGTTTCTGATTTCAGGGTGGGGTAACTTTCAGATGTTATCTGTCTCATGAACTGGATCCTCACTTTGCCACTGCAGGTCACCGGCTGCATGCGTCTGCAGTCATTGCAGCGTAACTATTGCATGCTGGCCTTGCAGGTATCAGGGAGAAAGGCAAATGCAGATGTTCAGTAGAGTCAACAAGGATTCCTGTGAATCACTGCATTGTGAAGAAAAATCTAACTAACCACCATGTATCTTCTCTGTAACATTCACCATTAGCTACATCTACTGAAATTCTGAAGAAGAAAGCCTGAGAACTAATATGTAATATCTACCAGTCCCATTTCCTTGACCTGGATAATATGTTAAAAGTAAGACTACATAAGCATTAGTCTCCGGAATTTTACCAGTTGTTACTAGCTAAGTACATGACGGATTGGATGTGAGTGAAAGTGGATTCAGCTTTTTGTTTTTTGTATTAGTATCAACAGTCAAATTGTGACACATAGATGACTGTTAATTTGTAACACTTTCCGAATGGCTCCAGATTGATTACCGCATGAACTCCTCCACTTTGCATTTTGAGATGAACATTTACTGTAAGAGGAGACCCTTGGGAAGCTGTCTTCTGACAGGAAGTGTGGCCACATCACTGATCTTGGAGGCCTGCCACTTCCTCTGGAGGGCTCAGCACCGAGGCGGCATCGCTTGTTAACGGGAACGTCCCTCTTAGGCTGATGTTAGAAGCAGCTGCCCGTCGCAGACACACGCTGGGCCCAGGCAGAATCAATGATGCTTAAAACACAGCAGGAACAATGTATATTTCTGTAGAATGTATGTTAAGAAAACAAGGAGAGCACTAATCGTTCCCAAGCACTGGAACCTGGCGGTCTGCAGGGTTCACCCTAAACGGGATCCCTACTGTCAGGAAGATAATAGCATGCGTTTTCCCGCTCGGAAAGTGATAAAGGTATCTAATCTCCGGTCCGTGTTGTAAGTGGCACGTAAAAGGAAAGGTCACACGGATGTTTGATAGGCATGCTGCTAGTTCCTGTCACTGCAGCTACAGACAGGGACCCAGAAGGACCGTAGGACAGGGCACTAAGCATCCTTAACTAAAACGGAGATGATAACTGCCTGCTTTAGTGGCCATCACCAGGCTTCTGCAGTGAACCCTGACAGCCATCAAATCAGACGTACCACTGAACATTACCAAGGTCACATTATTTTTCCAGAGAAAACGCACTTCGCCAATGACTCTCCCACTTATGCCCTGCCTACTGCACGCCAGTGTTTCCCAACCTTGTGCCACGACACATTTTCCATGATGTAATTATCCCAAGGCACATCATTGATTAACATACACTACTAATTGGCTCTTACCAATAACACATATCACATTGCTCTTAACCTGTTGGTTCAGGATCAGGAATGTTTTCTGAAATCTTCCTTTTCGAAAATTATCTTGGAGCTTTTCATCATGTGACAAGGGCACTTAAAGCCTACTGGACAATGAAATATATGCAAAGCTTTTTCTTCGTCAAACCCACTTAAAGCTTATTTTATTTAGGGTGTGTGTGTATATATATATATATATATATATATATATATATATACGCAAACAACCCTATGACAACCCTAACCCCTACCCAGCCTTAACCTTAGCCATAAGTAACCAGACGAAAAACACATATGACTCCACAATGTAATACATACATAACCCACACACACGACATGCCTGGCCAGTTTTAACGGCACACTGGTAAAAAAAATGCTGCTGTACCTGTTTGCTTCAGGATAGGAGAGACACATCTATTTTTTTTTCTAAACTTTGGGCCACAAAGTGAATAGTGGGCTTCAGCACATAGCAGACAGCCTTAAATCCAGGCTGATCTAGAACATAGGACATTAAGGGGAATTTTATGGATAGTTATACATCCATCTTTTAACCACGGGTCCTGGGTAGGCTTAGGAAGCACAAGGCACAGGGGAAAGGCCTTGGACAGCCTGTACATCCACACAGAGCATGTGCACACTTAATCACACTCTAGGCACAATTTAGAAACACCGCTTAGCCTAACACCACTTAGTCTTTGAACTGCAGTAGGAAAGAAGAGGAAATTGTCACAACAAGGAAAGAACATGCAAACACCAGAGGTACATGGAGCAGAGGGGAGAGGAAACAGCCCTAAGGAAAGAACATGCAAACTCCAGTGGCAGACAGAGCGGAGGTGAGAGGGAACAGCCCTCTCTACTGTGTGACCGTACCGCCCCAAACACACAGAACATGCGAAATAACGGCTGGGTGTGGGAACTGAACCAAATCAGGCAGCGCCTGAGCAGAGCTCCGCCAGAACAAGATAAAAGTGGAAAAGGAGGGAATATTCAGGGTCTTTATCAACTGTTATTGCAGGACTCAAGGTAAGAGGGCCATCAGTGTGAACCTAGAACCTGAGACCAAGGGGGTCCCAACTCATTCTCACTGCACTGCAACACAACAATACAATACAGAGCAATTATCTAAAGGAGCTGGAAAACCATTTAGGTAGTTCCCCAAACATGAACAGGCAGAAACAGAACGGGAAGCACAGTGAAAATGAGATCCACTTAAGCACACGCCAGGACACCCACATAGTCACAAACAATTATAGCCATCAAGAATGTCAGGGTGGGACGGCATGCAGACCACAGACCCTGTCCAGTCTGCTGGCTTTCAGCTGAGGGGAAAGCCTCATTTCCATAATAATGACTGCAGAACGGGGGTGGAGTGTGCATTAATGTTCATGAGGGTGGGGCTATTTTGTGACCAAATTTGGGCATTTAGTGAGTGTGCAGGAGCTGCTGCTGTGATTGTACAGATCCTGCCGCCTATGAGCAGAATCTGACAGCCTGATGTTGAGGATTTGGCCAATAAAGTCCTATTACAATGACAGTAGACAATGTGCTCGGTGACAAGCCACACCACATAAACGGGGACCTTGTGAGTGCAGAGTAGAATAGTGATACTTTATTAATCCCTGTAGGGAAATTCTACTTTTGCTTACTCCATCTTGATCTCCATGAGACAGGCACACAGGTGAGAGGCTGCTTGTGTCACATCGCAGGATCAGCCAGCATGCTGGTTAAGGACTTTGCTCTGGGGCCCCCAGATATGTGACGGTTCAGCTGAGGCCGAGGCGCAAACAAGGGAGCTTCTGATCACGGGCGCGTAGGATCAGCCCGCAGGGCCGGGCACTGCACCAGAGCTGCTGACATCAGGCCAGTGGGCTGTGAAATTGTACAACCATCAGAGAGTAACTGACACATCACTGCGTGCTGGATGAAAGTGCTGAGTCACCAGCTGTCACCAATGGTCCTCACCCTCTCCATGGAGGGGACTACCCAGGTTCCAGACACAGTGCCCCCCCCCCCCCCCCAAAAGCAACATACGCCGAGGGGGTGGCAAGCTTACTGTGGCATGGTCATAACCAGGGGACACTAAAAACTGTTATTTTCTCCAAGGATCAGGGAAGACAATAGACCCAGTATCCTGTGTGTGTGTGTGTGTGCTGGTCCCTGTCCAAATCCTTTTTTTTTTCTGAACAGTCGTCTGATGCTGAGAGCACCCCATGCTAAACATCAAATCAGTATTAATCATAATCAAAAACAGAATGAATTTGATTTTTACACAGATTAATTCACTGTGAAAAAATTATCTGAAACTGACAGAAATAATCTGGAAGCACCATATACTGACTTGGAACTGAAAGCTACCAAGCTTCTGTTACTCTCTGTATAAACAGCAAGGCAACAGCGGCTTTGTTTCCATAATAGCGAAAATCGTGCTATTCTTGTGAACAGGATGCAAGTTTACTAAAAACAGGCCTGGAAATATGAAAGTTTAAAGTTACAGTTCCATAATAATGACGGAAAACGATACTTTATTACAGTCATCATAAAAACGCCTTTGGGTTTCACATTCATTGCACATGCTAATAAAACTGTTTCAATGTTTATTAATATCATACATTAAAATATTTTCTGAAATACCTGAGCATCGTGTGTTCATCAGGGAAAGAAAGATGCGGCTGTTTAGCCAGTCGAACATTTAATGTACTTTAAGATAATGGCAGACGACGGATTTGTCTGGCATGGAAAGATAATACTTTAAGATACACCGCAACAAAGGGGAACTAACCGTCTATTGCGGAATTAACCGCTGTAACGGTAATCTGATTAAACTGCAATAACCAATTACTTCACATACAGTTTTACATTCGCCCATATAGAATCCGCGAGGTTTTTACAGCATCTCAAGGACCTGATAAAAACAAATATATCAGATAGTATGTACGTTAAGCTTGGAAGTGAAACAAAAGAAAGACATGCCTACACTTGTATATACACACGGAAAAACACCCATGCATGCATATATATGCGCCAGCATTCTGCTTGTGTTATTAGCACGGCATTCTGTCACACATACACGTAATACAGAGCATTTAAAGGCTGGTGCGGCTCCCGAAAGCGCACAGCGCGTCCTTTGTGCCGCCCGTTAAGCGCGCTTCGGCAGCGTCCCCCCCCCCCAGACACGCCCATAAGACCCACACACAAGGGCCATAATGAATAAAAAGCAGATAGAAAGGAGGAGCTACGCGTGAGGCTCTGGCAGGGCTCTCACAGACGGTAATTTACGTTTTTGTTCTGCTTTGGTGAAGTGCTTCCCAAGAAATAAAGCTCGATATCCGCGGGACGTCCTCGACGCGGCGATGAGCGGCGGATCGGCGCTCGGCTCCTAAGCTGCGCTTTACTGACGTGGGGAGAAGCGGCATAAGTGGAGGTACAGTGTGCCTCGGTCTTCTTTTTATACATTGTTATCTTTTGCGGCGTTATGGCGCACAGGCATGGCTACAATCTTTGTTTGGAAAGTCAGTGTGACATTTTTCACGAAAGGGAATCGTGCGTCGCTGGTGAAGCGGGGAAACTTAACTTAGGGACGGACTTGAGCAAAGACCCACGAGACAAAACCTAATGCTGACACGTGTTTTTTTTTTTTAAAAGCGAAAATGTGCTTTTAATAATCAAACACCTTACTGATCCCCCGTGGGAACAAGAGGATTGCTGGTTTTTAGCAACGTTTAAAAGTCTTAAAGGATTTCCCCCATCGTGTCGCATTTTTCTATTGTTGTTGTTGTTGTTATTGTTGTTATTATTATTATTATTATTATATCATCATCATAATAATCATCATCGACAACAACAGTGATAGTAATAATTCATGTAGTATCCTACTAGTATTTCATTTTAAATGTATCGTGACGTTAGATGTTTTCGCGGTTTAAATGATTAGTACATTGAAAGTACTTGATCGTTGTCTTAAATGCATTATGTGGGTTTTGTCTTTCCGTGTTTAGGGGAAATCGATTGTGCTTCTGTATGTAACATAGAATTAAACCTTAGATTTCTGTCACTCGTTGATTCAGTGAGTTCAAGAGGAGGACACACTAGAAATATATAGTGTGCAATTCTACGGCTGTGTATTGCACAGTATTACAAAACTGTACAGTAGGTTTGACAGCGTTAAAAGTCACCGCTGTTAAATTCTCATATTGTGATGTTTGGGAACAACCTGAATAGAAAATCATCTTTTTGAGGGAGTTTCCCAATAAGAAAATCAATTAAACAAAACCGAAACATTCCCATGAGGGCGACAGATAAAGGAAAGGTCGAAGGCATGAGCGCTGTTGTTTGCAAATCACGAGGTAAACAATGCTAAAAGAGGCAGATGGTATTTCAGCATCTATTAACACGGGTTAATGCACACAGCTCTCTCACATAATCGGGATAACATGCAGGTTGGAATACATCTGTCACACACAATTTGAATAACACTCAGGTACTCTTGGCAGCTGACAAACACACAGTCTGCATAACACTGAGCTTAACACATGCTGCTGTTGTTTCCGACAGTCAGATTAGTCCACAGGTTAGTGTACACGGCTCACAAGCATGCAGTCAACACATAGACACATGAGGAAAGCATGCAGTTATGATAGGATCTTGGTAAACGTGCTGGGTATCCGGAATTGCGAGAAGGATTGGTTTTTCTTTCGGGGATGTCAGGCGGCTAGATGGGGAACACATGTTTGCCATTATGCTTGAATCCCGCTGAACATTTAACATCTGTTTCTTGATCTTTGAACCAACACTGTGGAATTGTTCCTTTTGCCTTGTGGATGCATGGCCCCCCTCTCCTTGGTTTCCAAAAGGGAAGCAAGCTCCCTGTGGACTAGGTGGACCTGATGGGGAACCACAGACCAGATCCCCGGGGGTCTTTTTGTATTTTGGGAGATCGGTTCTCTCCCCCCCCCCAGACATCTCTGCTCAGAGTCTTCTCTTGAAGCCGATCTTCTGCTCAACATGCAGAATTCTGTCCACACTCTTTTCCCGATTAGAGGAGCTTCCTGTCAGAATGGACTCACGCTGTTCGCTCCACAAACCATGACTTGCAACGGGGGGGTCTTGCTGTGGGGCTTTTGACCATGACTTGTGAATGTTTTCCTGGGTTATAAAGTGATTTTGGAAAGGCCAAAGGTATTCCTCAGTAAGCAAACCAAACACATGGCACATCAACAACAGTCATGCTGAACACCAGCAATCCAGAGCTTTGCAATCAGAACTTCACTCAAGCTAAACTTGTACTGATTTTAAATACACTCTGTGTCTAACGGATGCAGTATTTTCCTCCGACATCTACTACCATTCCTACTGTTTGTGAATCTTTCCGTTGGCATCAAACCGGTCAGATTGAACCTGCTCACCTTGGTGTGCAGGATTTCATGCGAGTCATATATCGGTGAACAATCTTTGAATAGCATAGGATGAAATTTTACCGAATACAAATTTATTGAACTGCGGCATTACAAAAATAACTCCCAGCACATTAATCACCCCAAAGAAATAAATAAATGGCTAAGAAGAAACATATGGAAGAGTGAAGGTGCTATTGGCAGAGTATAAAGCTGGAAGACGCAAGACTAAGTGCAGGTGAAATGCTCTGAGATCCTCCGGTGGGGTTGGGGACAGGGAGACCTCGAGCACTTAAACCAACGGCAGTGGGTACTGAGGAACCACTGAAGAACTCAGCTGTTCATCTTGGGGAGAGGAAGGCAGAAAGTGCTCATTAACTGTACCAGCTCTGTTGGGAGGGGGGGGGGTGTCATTAATCAGAATGGAGATCAGCATGGGTACAGTTTGATCAATCCTTACTAAACATCTGGCCTTGTTACTTTTGTCCTTGCCTGCGGTTTACCACTCAGTTAAGTTTGGATGACAGTCTGACTCGAAGGACTCTCAGTCTAACACACTCTGTGTGTCGCTCCGTCGCCCTAGCAGTTAAGCCGTTTGCTGAGTGCAATCGAACGACAAAGCAGTCATGTCCTTACAAGTTCCAGTGTTGCTGACTAAACTGCCAGTTGCAAGGGTCAGGACACTTAACAGAAACCTCTGGCTCATGGCATGGATGTGGGAATCGGAGCTCAGGACACGTCAGAGTAGTTCCCGGGCCTATGAGTCATTCCGAAAGCACAGTGAACACAGAGTGCCAGTGATTCCAATCTATTATGTTGGCAGTAATTCGCTTGCTGCATTGAATTGCATACGGATAAAAGCCCTTCGTTCTCGGGGCAGAAGCCAGCATTCCACTTTCAGCAGCTCCTGTGTGACACTTCCATGCCGAAACCCCTTAATTAAAGGCAGGAGCCGGGGCAGGGCTGCCCTCGGAGACAGGAAGTCGGGAGAGTCCTGTGCAGCATCACCCAGCCTGCCGCAGAGGTGGGGAGAGCGGACAGTGGGCGTGCAGCTCCAGCCTTCCGCCTATCGGTTTGTTTCCATGTGGAACATCTGCTTTTTAAGCATATTCCCAGTCCTATGAGACGGTTTTGTTATCACTCTGCCATAGAGCCCAGTGCCTGGACACGAACGCACTGTTTTTTCCCCGTGGGGTTCCTCAGATGCCAAAACTACTCTCTTTTGTTTATGTCCATTTTTCTTGTTTTGTTAAAGCCATCTTCACTCACGTTCCCAGCGAGAAAGAAAAAACAGTCCCAACCTGTCACCTCCCATCCCTGCATCACGTCGATTTCTTTATTTAACACGTGCCGGAAGTTTTACAGACCTCTGCAGTCTGCCGCCTGCCTCCCAACCCCCAACGAAGTCCAGCGTCTTCCATCAGTCCACTCTTGGAAAATGACTTCTGCAGTCTCTGCTGTTTGGAGCCAGACTCCCTTTCGTGGGCTGCCGTTTCTCTCCGCCTCATCCAAAAGTCCTACTTTGGTGCTCCAGAGCAAAACTGTCATTGTTTCATGCTTCCTGCACTTTGGTCTACGGAAATCATACTTTTTAAGTTGCTTTGACCATTTCATTGCTTCATATTTGGGGGAAAAAAATAGAATTTTCAATGAAAACTAATAAACTCCCTGATGCAATATGAATTTATCTACAAGACAGTTTTGACTAGCGGATGGTCTTGCAGATGGTCTTGTGGTGTTACGTAGTCTGAAGCTGGATCACACTGTGTGAGATCCTCTCTCTCAGTTATCTATCCTGTTTAGCTGAATTATGTACTAAATTCTGTCACTACATGGGGAGACTCTTACGGTTCTTTGTTGTACAAAGAGGCTTAAACTGAACATTAACTCCTCCTGTCTCAGATTGTCCCAGATGGCTGGAGCTATGAAGCTTATTCTAGCCAATAACTCTGACCTAGAAACCTTCCCAGTCATGTAATTTATGCGGAAACATGTTAACAACACAGCTCTATAACAATAAAGTACACATAACAGATCTTATTTAACCTATTTCTTTTTTTTAACGTATATTTAGTTATTTTGACAGATGGAAAAATGCATCTAGCATTGGTCTGTCTCTTTATACAAAGGCTGCTGGGTTGAAGTCCTGGATCCATTGATAACCTTGTTCCACAATCCCGCTGTTAGATTTCCCCAGTATCCAACACTGTCTTTTGCTACAGATTGATTTTTTTCCTTAAAATGATCATTAGCCTGGATGTCGAAACTATTACTTGCCGTCCTCAGCTCATATACTGGATCTCTCTTTTTTTTGCCCTTCCCCCTCCCCCACTTTGTGAAGGATCAGAAGGGTGGCCATAATGTGATAACATTTTAGCTGCGGCAAAAGCCTCGATTATGATTGAGAGGGAGATATTGTATCCTTTTCATTTCCTTGGAGGAGTCGTTTCCCATCCAGGTCTCTCCCCTCGCCAAGAAGCGGCTCTGTAGTTCCATGTCTCGGTCTACAAAGATGTCTGGCACCTTAGACCAGCTGTTGTTTGTACATGTTATCTCGAACATATTGCCGAAGTTATCCTGACAGGTTTCTCGGGCGTTCCCATTCTACTTGTTTCCTCTTGCCTTGAAAATAGTAAAGTACTCATCCAGAACTTGAAGTAATCACACATGAGTTTTCACTATGAATTTACTCATATAAGTATGAGTTAATTTTGCAAAGCACTTCTAGCTGCTGGGCGATCTCCTGATCTCACTTAACATGTCAGAGACCCAGAGGGCGATCCAACCATATGAACAGGGGGTTGTCTTAACTGTCTTTGAATAGAAAGAACAGTCATTGACAGCTTTGTGAGCATAATGGATGGCGCAAGCAGAAGGGAGAAGCACATAGAAATTCACCCCTTACATGTTTTTCTGGAATACCCGGGTAATTCCTTGAGTGAGGATCAAAAGTGGTTTCCAGTCGATTCCAGCACAGGACCTAGTATGTCTATGGGTGGCGAAACACAAGATGAAGTGTGTATTATGTTTT